CCTGGCTTCCTGTGTGGTCGTGCCTGCACTCACAACCCACCCTGGCTTCCTGTGTGGTCATGCCTGCACTCACAACCCACCCTGGCTTTCTGTGTGGTTGTGCTGCGCTCACAACCCACCCTGGGTTTTGGTGTGTCCGCGTCTGTGCCCACACAACCCACCCTGGCTTTCTGTGTGACCCTGCTGCACTCACAGCCCACCCTGGCTTCCTGTCTGGTCGTACCCTCACTCACAACCCACCCTGGCTTCCTGTCTGGTCGTACCCTCACTCACAACCCACCCTGGCTTCCTGTCTGGTCGTACCCTCACTCACAACCCACCTTGACTCGGTTCATTTTTCTTCTACTTCCAACTGTCTGTTCTACCAATATTTCGCTGTTCCTTCTGATATTACAAGGACCCCAAAATAAATAAGTCATTTCGAACTTTTGGGTTTATCCTAGGTAATTTACACGTTAAACTGTATATGATAATTGTACTTATGTGTACCTGTACTTAAATAAATTTACTAGTCTGATTAGTGTTGTCTTGTTCTTGATGTAAACTGTACCTGCTGTCTCCTGGGCTTACATTTTGGCAGTATTCAGTGTTTGTTGTTACTACTCCATCTCGTGTGTTCACTGTCTGCTGTACCTATAATCTGTTGTATTAACTGCATGCCGCGTCTATTGTTCTGCTGCACCCGCAACATTCTCCTTTATTACGCCGCTAAAATTAGTGAATTTACTCCTGAGCAAAATACCACCATAAACTGCAGTTAAAATGCACAGTAGATTAAATCTGAATGGGTTCACTGGCCTTGTGATGGGTAAGACTGGTGGTGGTGGGGATGATGATGGTGATGATAGTGATGGTGTGTAAGCTGACGACAAGTCAGTACGTAATAACAGGACGTGACGAGTGACTGGTTAGTTTAAACATCAGTGCATACATATCTTGCTCTCTGAAATACTGGTGTCTCAAGCCAGTGGTGGTCACCCAGCCAGAAAGTGTTACTATGTATATAAACATCTGGTCACTGTTCTCTCACTTGGTCACTGCTCTTTCACTTGGTCACTACTCTCTCACATGGTCACTGCTCTCACCTGGTCACTACTCTTACCTGGTCACTACTCTCTCACTTGATCACTGCTCTCACTTGGGCACTGCTCTCTCACCTGGTCATTGCTCTCTCACCTGGTCATTGCTCTCTCACCTGGTCATTGCTCTCACCTGGTCATTGCTCTCTCACCTGGTCACTACTCTCCCACATACAATTTACTGTACCCTCAAAGTTGTTTTTGTGAATGTTGAGCCTCAGGGCCTTGAACCTTATCATGCTTTATCAACGCTCAGTGTACTCAGTGTTCCGTAGCTCGGTCGCTAGGGCACTTAGCTCACAAGTTGAAGATTGAGACACTTATGCAGCATATGGGAATCTTTATTCAGAAAACGTTTCGCCACACAGTGGCTTCATCAGTCCAATACAAAGAGGAAAGCGTAAGGAGAGGAGGAGTATGAGGTAATCAGTCCCTCAGCCTGGAGTCGATGTGTTCAGTCCATCAATACATTCTACAAGATTGATGGACTGAACACATCGACTCCAGGCTGAGGGACTGATTACCTCATACTCCTCCTCTCCTTACGCCTTCCTCTTTGTATTGGACTGATGAAGCCACTGTGTGGCGAAACGTTTCCTGAATAAAGATTCCCATATGCTGCATAAGTGTCTCAATCTTCAACTTGTCGGTTTTTCAAACCATTCATCACACACTTAGCTCACACACTGAGATCTGGAGTTCGAATCTCCGGTGTGGCTGGGAAACATTAAGGACGTGTTTCTGTAAGACACCTGCTGTCCCTGTTCACCCATCAATATAAAATGGGTACCTGGGTGTTAGTCGATTGGTGTGGGTTGCATTCCTGGACAAAACTAACCTAATTTTCCTGAAATGCTCAGCATAACAAGCTGCTTTCTATATAGTAGTATGTCACTGATGTCAGCTAGGCCTGTATACCTTGTACATGTACTTGTAGAAATAAAGATATTATATTAACAGGGCGGAGTACAGAGATATATAGTAAATAAGTGAGGCGGAGCTCAAGGGTAAAGGTCATAAAAAAGATTTAACAACAGGAAAAGGTCATAGCTAAGATTTAGCAATAGAGTTGTACAAAGTGAAAGTCTTAATATATATACCATTTTAGTGTGACGCCGTTCACGTTGATCCTTCGTCCATTCGTATTACCTGGAGTTTACCTGGAGAGAGTTCCGGGGGTCAACGCCCCCGCGGCCCTGTCTGTGACCAGACCTCCTGGTGGATCAGAGCCTGATCAACCAGGCTGTTACTGTTGGCTGCATGCAAACCAACGTACGAGCCACAGCCCGGCTGGTCAGGAACCGACTTTAGGTGCTTGTCCAGTGCCAGCTTGAAGACTGCCAGGGGTCTGTTGGTAATCCCCCTTATGTATGCTGGGAGGCAGTTAAACAGTCTCGGGCCCCTGACACTTATTGTATGGTCTCTTAACGTGCTAGTGACACCCCTGCATTTCATTGGGGGGATGTTGCATCGTCTGCCAAGTCTTTTGCTTTCGTAGTGAGTGATTTTCGTGTGCAAGTTCGGTACTAGTCCCTCTAGGATTTTCCAGGTGTATATAATCATGTATCTCTCCCGCCTGCGTTCCAGGGAATACAGGTTCAGGAACCTCAAGCGCTCCCAGTAATTGAGGTGTTTTATCTCCGTTATGCGCGCCGTGAAGGTTCTCTGTACATTTTCTAGGTTATGGTCCTTGAAGGTGAGATCCTCCGACATTATCACTCCCAGGTCTTTGACGTTGGTGTTTCGCTCTATTTTGTGGCCAGAATTTGTTTTGTACTCTGATGAAGATTTAATTTCTTCGTGTTTGCCATATCTGAGTAATTGAAATTTCTCATCGTTAAACTTCATATTGTTTTCTGCAGCCCACCGAAAGATTTGGTTGATGTCCGCCTGGAGCCTTGCAGTCTGCAATGGAAGACACTGTCATGCAGATTCGGGTGTCATCTGAAAAGGAAGACACGGTGCTGTGGCTGACATCCTTGTCTATGTCAGATATGAGGATGAGGAACAAGATGGGAGCAAGTACTGTGCCTTGTGGAACAGAGCTTTTCACCGTAGCTGCCTCGGACTTTACTCTGTTGACTACTACTCTCTGTGTTCTGTTAATGAGGAAATTATAGATCCATCGACCGACTTTTCCCGTTATTCCTTTAGCACGCATTTTGTGCATTATTACGCCATGGTCACACTTGTCGAAGGCTTTTGCAAAGTCTGTATATATTACATCTGCATTCTTTTTGTCTTCTAGTGCATCTAGGACCTTGTCGTAGTGATCCAATAGTTGAGACAGACAGGAGCGACCTGTTCTAAACCCATGTTGCCCTGGGTTGTGTAATTGATGGGTTTCTAGATGGGTGGTGATCTTGCTTCTTAGGACCCTTTCAAAGATTTTTATGATATGGGATGTTAGTGCTATCGGTCTGTAGTTCTTTGCTGTTGCTTTACTGCCCCCTTTGTGGAGTGGGGCTGTCTGTTGTTTTTAGTAAATGTGGGACGACCCCCGTGTCCATGCTCCCTCTCCATAGGATGGAAAAGGCTCGTGGTAGGGGCTTCTTGTAGTTCTTGATGAACACGGAGTTCCATGAGTCTGGCCCTGGGGCAGAGTGCATGGGCATGTCATTTATCGCCTGTTCGAAGTCATTTGGCGTCAGGATAACATCAGATAGGCTTGTGTATTTAGAAAGTGTTAAAAAGGGAATTTGTGAAGGTAAGAATATCGCCTCAGTGAATCTGTGAAGACAGCAACTACCTCATGACTGATATACCCTCACAAGTTTCCACAGAGAAAGCAAATTTTTATTTAGGACTCATACACAAGTTGGTTGGCTGTTGGTTAATTTCGTTTAAAGCTTATCGACTACACGAGGGTCATTAAGGCTGCGTGTAAACTTTTCATCACCAGTCAAAAATACTTTACATCCGTGCACACAATGGATGTTTAAGCTCCCAGAGAGCTCCTAGCAGGAACAACCAACAGCCCTTCCCAGCAGACAGAGCTGACAGCTACCGCGACTTCACCTCTACAGAGGACCTAAAATCTGCAATCAAATTAACATCCACCAGGTCGCTGACACACATCCCCAAAGCAGTTCTCCCTCAAGCTGCTAGCAAATTCGCTGACCTCTTCAAGAAAGTCAATGATACTCCTGCAAACAACGGAACCTGGCACAACCTACTGCTATTTGGCAATGGCTGTCCCACCAAGGAGGGACAAGTCCCTATCAACATCTGTTATTAAGATAATAAATGCATTCCCTAGAGATGATTATTAATTTCTGATATATATTCATTGTTTTTAGCTGTTATTCATAATTTTACTAGCATTCTATAATTTATTCCTTTGGTGTGTTCCTGCAATTCCAACAGATTGATAATTAACTTTCAGTGAAATTTGTTATAATTTAATGTTCTTCATATGTTTATATATTATCATAATTCTTGTATTCTGCTTATCTTTATTATCTATTATTCAATGTTTTATATACTTTATTTTGTCTTTTTTTTTATATTTCGTATCTACCACATTGAACTTTTGTAATGTAATATTATCGATAAGGTAACAAAAGGACCCCAATGAAAATAAATCAGACTTTTTTGGGTTATCCCAGGTTCTCTACACATGTGCTGCTATGTATAATAACCTATGTAACTGTATTTGCTTACTAAAGAATCATGAATATTTTACAATAGTTGTCCAATTTCATAAATTTATTTTCTTTGATAATTTTTTATGTTCATAGTTTTCTTTGAATGATCAACACTGGGAGACTAAATTAACCAGCAAGATCGGCTTTAGGTGTCTTCAAAAAGATTTTATTCGGTTTATTAACCCCCGAAGGGTTAGTAACCCAGGAAAATCCAATAAAACCATTCAGTGTGGTTTATTTCTCGATGCACACTGAGGATAAATGGTAGCCAAAATACATACAAAACTGTTTATTCATTCATACAAATGGACAGTTTAGGCGAGTCTAAGTATTACATGAATAAATCTGAATGACTAAATATCGAGAAATACTGCAACATATTTATATACCTTAAGAAAATAAATACTAATTCATTTATTTATACTATAATAAAACGCTAAACCCGTATGGGTTATACAATAATACGATACTTATTTATACTTGAGTGAATGATTTGAGAATTTCCAAGCCTCGCTACGTCTGGGTTAATGTCACCATCTTGCAAGACCAAATAAATGCTGGCACACTTGAAAATATAAAAGAGTACATCTTGGTACTGCCTCGGCATTTATAGTCTGGGGAGAAGAAAATAGGCATACGGCCTCAAGGAGCAAACTCAAGACTTCTTTCTGAACCCCCTTTTTTTCTTTTTCAAGGCTATGGGTCCTCACTACATTAAATATCTTTATTGTGACCATAATATTACAAGGACGAAACATAATGGTACTTGACCTATCGTCCACACGGTGACTGAGGGCAACTCTGACTTCTTCACAACCTAATTACTCAAACGAACAGTTTTAATACTACAATGGGAGCGACTCCTCGTCATCCGTGTGGCCAGTATTGACTGTGGTATCAATGATGCCTACGGCACTAAAAGTAGGCGTGACACTTGTGCCTGACACTTCGGATCGACGTAGTTGGATTTAATGGTGCGCATGCATAAACACATTGATAAGAACGAGGGTGAGAATGCCACTGCATATGCACGCCACCTTCTCCATCATAAGGCAGATCTCTGAAGGCGGAGAGTAAGTGATGGAATCCTGGTCGATGTCTTTCTCGTGGTGGTGAAGGGCGGGGAACTCCTTAGCTAGTACCTCGATGAATATCACATGTATGAAGATACCTGACAGTGAAAGAAACTTATGAAATTTGAGATAGATATGTTTTTGAACGTCTGTATACTAGTATTTAATTCGTAAGTAAACATGAAAGTGTCTTAACACAGGTCTATGTCAGATGATGCCCTCAGTGATTAACTAACTGCTGGTATTATTATAATAAAAAAGAAACGCTAAAACTACAAGGGTCATACAGCAACTTCTGGTATACTAGCGTCGAGTATCAGTGATTAAGTACCCGGTACTATATAACAGTGCTTGGGCATGTTAGCCTACCTAGGATAGGTTTCTCACCCTATTTAGAAAAAGTGTCGCCACACAAGAATCCAAGGATATTCAAATATTTGTTATAATATAAATATAAATATTTATATTATAACATAAAATACATTTAATTGGCCAAGTTATTTTGTATTTACATATTCAGGCTTAAAAAACACGTAGAAAAGTACATGAAAATGTAAGCAAAATAAAGCCTAAGAATTTGGTCTGGTCTCAATATGCATGTGTACCTGTTGCAAAGGCCTCCAGTACCGCGGAAACAATTTCTCTGTTGTCTGAGGGTGCATTCTGAAGGGCCACCCCGGCCACTATGCCCAGAGGGATGGTGGAGGTAAACATCAGCACATAGATCACCTTGCTCCATCGACTCAACACATGGCTCTTGCTTACCTGCCAAACACAGAAAGTCATCAAGATTATGTTCGTCGAGGCCCAAATAATAATAATAATAATAATAATAATAATAATAATAATAATAATAATAATAATAATAATAATATGCTGATAAAACAATTAATATAAATGAAGCCGATAAAAAAATCGAATATGTGTGTGTAATATACATATTTTGATATTTTTTTTTTAATTCTGAATGTTTGAATTTTGACTATAAATGGGAAGAAGTTCACTTTGCATAATGGCTGATAAGCAGTTTTACTGGTGTGGGAAGGCAGCGATAAATCCTTAAGGGTCAGACAGCACCTGAGAAATGGAAGATAATCAATTTTGATCCAAGAAAGAGAAAGATATCTCCAATTACTCGCATCGTTTTCTTTAAAGTGGAAATTATGCTTCACATTGCGTACCCTCCCTCCCCACCTTTTCCTTCCCCATTTTTTGCTACTGTCCATTCATTTTCTCCCCCTCCCTGCTTACCTCCATGCCGAAGGTGAAAGCCATGAGGGCCTCGTGAACCATGATAGCCAAGGAGAACTCAAGCACCTTGTCTTTCTCCGTCTGGAGGCCAACGGCCATACCCTCGAAGAGTGAATGGATGCCCAGGGCCATGAGGAAGATCACCGAGGAAGGTACCCCGTGCCCACCTGCGTAAAAAAACACGTGGTCTTAAGATCGTGGTCATAATGATTGATAGCTTTCTCATTCTTATTCTTGCTCACTCGTTCTTTCTCTCTCACGTTCGCTCTCTTGCCCACCTTGGTGGTCGCTACAGAGATGGTGAAGGTGTTGATCATCTACAGCGTTCGCATCTACACTACGAGGTCGCTCACTGAGCGTGTCCACAGCAATGGATGCTCTCACCGCTTGTTTGGCCAGCAGGCTGTGTGTGGCGCTGTTGCTGTGGCGGGAGTGCTCCATGGCGTGCACCTGTTTAACGGCAGGGGAATAAGTGTCCATTGTTATTACTGGAGATGAGATGCAAGCAAGAAGATTCAAAGTCATTCTCCCTGTAAAGTCAGTGCTTTACAGGGAGAATAAACGTCACAGTACCGTGGTCAAACAATTTGCAGCTAAAAAAAAAAAAAAATACCACGGGCGGGGTTAGAACCCGCGATCAATATTAAAATTCGTGGTATGGTTTGTTTGCAATCGTGTTATTACGATTTCGTGAGTCAAATTTACAGCTAATTCGGAATTTGTAAAGTTTGGATAACGTTTCGTTCCGTCCTGAACAACTGTCTTGCTATTAAGAAGTTGTAACTTGATAATGGTCCAGGACAGACCGAAACGTCGTCTAAACTTTTATCTGCAAAATTGAGGAAGGGTTGTGAGACGTTACAAGCACTTCTGTTATAGCTCTACTCTTTTTACGCTGTGATTAAAAGAAGTGGCCTGTAAGGGTTAATAAATGAAGTCACAGAACTCTTCTCACACATACTGCGCTTGTTCACCTAGCATTAAATAGGTACATATATGTGAGTGTTAGTTGATTGTTGTGGGTCTTATTCCTGATATGGGGTGGAGGGGTAATAACAGGTGGAAAAATAAATACAAATGCAGTATAATACTATCCTTTACTCACTACGTTTAGCCCACTGTGTGGGCGAAACGTAGTGGCTATCATGAGTATATATAGGGTGGAGAGTCAGGTATTGGCGAAAAGCAGTCAATAAAGGATTGCATTATACTGTATTTGTCTTTATTTTTCCATCGTGTCGGTATTTTATACAATTTATCTCCAGGGTAATAACAGCTAAAGGACTCAATACCTTTCATAGAATGGCATAATTGTAATCATAGCTCAAGAACTGAATACCTTAAAATTAAATTTCCACTAGCAGATGAGCTTACCAGTTTGTCAATAGTGAAGATGATGAGGAAGCCACAGGTGACGACAAAGAACCCCCAGGGGAACTCTGCGAAGACCTCCCAGCTCTCGTCTGTGTGACCCAGCACCTAGTGGCAAAGTTAACTATACTCGGCACGGATTTACGAAGGGGTGTTCTTGCTTTATGAATTTACTAACCATTTTCATTAAGGTATTCGAGAACACAAGAAGGGACACTGCAGCAAACCTACTGGTCTATGCTAGGCAGGTCAGCTTAAGGTAGTAGACCAAGATAAATACAATATTGTGTATGTGGACATCAGTTAGGCATTGATAGACTTCCACTCAGGAGAGTGACGAAGATTTTTTTATTTTTGTTCCAAATAATCACTATATTGAAAGGGCTATGCAAAGGGTCGTGCAATACTCTATTGAGAATGGGTGTTTATTCAAGAGTTGAAGGCCAAAGCCGCCTGTTACTAAGTTTTCAATGTGTTCTGTGTGTAGTGTTTATCCCACATAATTATTCGTAAAGTTACCGTTTATCTGTTAGGTAAATGGTCACAAAAGCAACTAATGAGATATTTATTACGGCTACATTTTCTTGATGGGAAACAAATGAGCTGGAACACTAGCACCGCATGACAGAAAGAAAACTTTAGTGAGGCTGGGGTTCTATCTCAACTATCCACCTCAAAACAATTATCACACAACAAAAGGCAGCTATCAGAACAACCACAAGCTCAAATTTTTGGCAACACACTTTGCTCTTATTCAAATCTATAAACGAAATATTAGTATCATACAGTACTATGTACTCCACATCTTCAAAATAAAACACACTGATGCTAAGAACCTTCCTAGAAATACGCAAGATAACAGAGGCAACACACGCGAAATAAACACCTCTTCCATATTAGTCGTGTTCTGAATCTATGTTGAAACTCAGTGTATATAAAAGGTTGATTAGTTAATGGAGCTTATAACCTATCAACTACACTAGGGTGATTAAGGCTGAACGTAGCCTATTCACCACCAGACGATATTACTTTAACCTCTAAAACAGGGATTAAAGAAAACTCCCAGCATATATACGCTAAGAGAAATACGTGGAATAACTTTCCAGATGATTTCAAAATGTAAGTCTTATATTGTTATTATAATTTTACGTCCAAGATATGAATTCCACCATATTCATTTTTTTTTTAATTTGATCATATCTCCTTTTGATCATATCTGCTTTTCTTTTAATTCTCTTCAGTTATAATTTAACATAAAAAAATTTAATTTAATGTAGTTCATTAACTACCAAATTTTCACTAAATTTTTTATTACGTTATGTAATTTCATGTTTTAGTGTGCCTTACATTTATATGTATTGTGCAATATATTTTTATATTTGTTAGCATTAATAAGAAAGTTAAGACACACGTGCAACATCTGGATATCTTTATTGTAGACGTTTCGCCATCCAGTGGCTTTATCAATACAGATTCTAGGACATAATAGGAAGACAGTAGAACTATATACAAAAGATGAGGTAATCAGTCCCTCGGCCTTGGTGTTAGTTAGGTTAGGTAAGGTTCGTCAGGAAACAGGACAAATGTTTCCTGACGCGGGTCTTAGTCAGATGATGACCCGCCTTTGGAGCTTTTGGTCATCTGACCGAGGCCTTCCGCTGGCTTACCGGTCCACCCCTTTAAAAATTATGGTCATTTATAACCAGTCTTTGGTGTTAGTGTTCACAGCATCGTGGTGGAGGAGAATCTCCTCCACCACGATGCTGTGAACACTAACACCAAGGCCGAGGGACTGATTACCTCATCTTTTGTATATAGTTCTACTGTCTTCCTATTATGTCCTAGAATCTGTATTGATAAAGCCACTGGATGGCGAAACGTCTACAATAAAGATATCCAGATGTTGCACATGTGTCTTAACTTTCATATTGTCGGTATTTTATACCTTTCTTGCACAGCATTAATAAGACTGCCCGAAATGCCACACATAACCATGGACTTTTCCTTATAAGTTATATATACCTGCAGTTTTAAGCACTTCTGTATCTTCTTTGGAAATAAGGTAATTTTATCTTATCTCTGGGTCCATACTCTGGCTGATAACACTGTAATACACATATACCTTACAGGAAACATGGAGAACTGTCGCCAGATTAGATTATCCTAAGAGAGACATATATAAAGGGATATTAAGCTGAAGGATTTGATGAAATGATCCAAATAAGAACATAAGAAAGGAACACTGCAGCAGGCCTACTGGCCCATGAGAGGCAGGTCCAAATCTCCTACCGGCTTAAGCCAATGCCCTAACCAGTTAGCTCAGGTCAAATTCTTGGAACTAAAATGATTTCAGAACTGAGAGTAATGGTTAACTCTCCGACATCGGTGATTTGAAAAGTCGATAACTTCGCCTAAAATCCTATAGGCTGTTACTAAGCAGCAGTTTCTCAAAAAGAGTACATTTTTTATGTAAGTACATAAGAACGGAGGAGCACTGCATGAGGCCTATTGGTACATACTAGGCAGGTGCTGCTCAGCTCGCCCTCTCCCATCAGTAAATCATTGACAAGAAAGACATGCTCCAAAAAGCTTTTTAGGACAACGATTTGCTCTGTATTCGTTGATGTGTGATGACCCCAATATGTTTAGAGTGAGATTTTGATTATAATAATAATAATAATAATAATAATAATAATAATAATAATCGCCGATTTGTGTTTGGGGGGTCAAAGTGCCACGATCTGATCAAGCTTCAGGTGATTTTCCCGACAAATTAATGTCAACAAGACCATAAAAGGAATCAGCTTTAAGTTAGTCTTACCTCAAGGAAATGGTGGAATTTACGATCTGCAGCAGGTAGCAGACCCATGAAACAAACGAAGATGAAGACCCCAGCGCCGAAGCAGGAGGCACAGGAGAGGAGTCTGGTCCTGAGAGCAGCTCGAGGCATTAACCTCTTGGAGAACATTCCTCTCAGCACCACCGGCGCCAGCCCCATGCACGTTGTTAGCACGAATATGATCCCAGTGAAGAGGAACTGCATTTGTTTCACCTCCATTTTGATACAATGTGACCCTGTTGATGTTGATACTGGCGTTTCCAAGTCAGAGTGGCATATACGACCTCACCAGTCCTACTCCACCTTTCCTTCAGTTAAATTTCATCAATATCAACGCCGCTAAACTTTGTCTTTCCTTTTCAGCTGTTTCGTTACGAGTTCCTTCACTCAGCTGCTGTTAAGACTACCGTGCAGCATCTCTTAGGTTATTGTTTCTAGGTTATATTACGCTAGCACCCGACGTCACTCCAGCAGTGATAATCGTGTCTCCCGGACCAACTCAGCCGTGATAATGTCCACCTGTGGACGGGACCCCCCTAGTTATCACCTCCATGTCCTCTACCACATCCTCCCGCCCCGCCTCTTCCCTCCCTGTCTACATAAAGAGCATGGGAATATAAAAACACTGAAGTTAGTCTATCGGTTCATGCCAGGGTATCCTCGCGCATACCTTTGAATACTATTTTTAAAGCTGTCCAAAGAATTAGCTACTTCTAGCATCTCAAGTACACGTCAGACCTTCCTATTTTTGAAGGGAGATATTTTAAGGACCTACTCGTCTTGGACCTATATTACAGAATGGGTATAAATTTGTTAGTTTTATGTAAAATAAGTACGTAACAGAAGAGCACTACACTAGCTTACTGGCGCACACAAGGTTAGAATTTTGTAAATAAAAACACTGGAAACGTATGGCTCCTGGACACTTGGTCAGTGCTACCAGACGTGAAATGTTTCCTGATATTGTACAAATGTCTCGCATTCTGTCGGCATATATATATACAAGGTTCTTCATGTAACTAGACCATTATTAATGATTAAGACATAGGTGCAACAGTTGGATATCTTTATTGCTGAAATGTTTTGCCTACACAGTAGGTTTCTTTAGTCAAATACAGAGGCAGGAATAAGTAAGTTTATTCAGGTATACACAAATACAATTACATAAAATTATCATACATAGCAGCATATGTGTAGAGAACCTGGGATAACCCAGAAAAGTCAGACAGAGTGACTTATTTCCATTGGGGTCCTTTTACCTTATTATTATTATTATAATATAAAGGTTATAATATTTTCTTATTATTCTATAATGAAGATAACATCTTATTATCATACTAAAAAGACTATGTACTACACGAGGGTCATTAAGACTATCTACAATACGAGGGTCATTACTAGGAATAAGGTAAAATTTACATTTATGTTAGCTAAAAATAGAAAATCATTCCCCTCTCTTTCTGTAGCTACATTCATGAGACACCTTTTGGCACTCTTCTTGAACTAGTTCATGCTGTGACTGGCTTTGACATGTGCGGGTAGTCTGTTCCATTCCTTTATTGCTGTACAATAAAAGGTGTTTGAAGCCTGGACACTGACTGTGGGTACTACAAAGTTGTGCTCTCTCCCCCTAGTACTATGATTGCTTTGGTTCCCAACCTTGACAAAATTGACAGCAAGATATTCTGGACACTGTTTGTGAGCAATTTTATAAACATGATTTAGCTTCAGTTGTTTTACTCTGTCTTCAACATTCAGCATATCCAACTGCTGTAATTCATCCTGGTGTAGTATTTGACTGAAGAAGTCTACTGTGTAGACGAAACATTTCAACAATAAAGATATCCAATTGTTGCACATGTCTTGATTATCACATTGTCGGTATTTTATACCATTTTCATATAAATGGGTTAGAAAACCGACAAGTTGATAAATGAGACACTTGCGCAACATTTGGGAATCATTATTATGGAAACGTTTCGAACGCAGTGGCTTCTTCAGTCCACTGCAGAGAAAGGTGGAAGGAGAGGAGTAGTTTGAAGTAATCAGTCCCTCAGCCTAGAGTCGATGTGCTAAGTCCATCAGTCTTGAGAAAATTACACCTCATCTACCATAAGTATATAAGCCCCATCTCCGCGAAATATGCTGCTCTTTTCTGAAGACTGACTAAACACATCGACTCCAGGCTGAGGGACTGATTACCACAAACTACTCCTCTCCTTTCACCTTTCTCTGCACTGGACTGAAAAAGCCACTGCGTGGCGAAATGTTTCCAGAATAAAGATTCCCATATGTTACACAAGTGTCTCATAGATCATACCATTTTCAACACAGACCAACACTGTCTAACGTGACTGAATTTCAACTCGTGTGTCTGTATAGCCTAGTCACTGAAATAGTTATAATGATGTATTTAGTATCTAGTGTTTGTGTGATGCACTCGTAAGAACGTAAAAACATGACGGACATAACCAGGGTGAGATGTACAGGGAAGGAGGCATTGAATTGAGGCCAATTGTTGCTAGATCTGGGGTGACTTGGTCATTTGAAGAGCTGTTCTCTACAGTTAAAGGACAAGTGGGTGCACTCCAGGACATTTTAATGGACACGTTTCCATCCTGGAACCTTGACTATTCCAAATGATAAAAGAGAACGAAATAAAAGTGTATATTGCCGTGTCACATGGCAACCAAGAAGTAGCATGTAGATGTATCATTCTATCTTCTACCATCACCTGCTCATTGGCTTTAATAATAATAATAATAATAATAATAATAATAATAATAATAATAATAATAATAATAATAATAATAATAATAATAATAATAATAATAATAATGATAATTAATAATAATCATATATTCACGAGGATATGAGAATTGTTACGATTTGATTCATTGTTTGATTAAGAGGAAAAGGACACAAAAATGCATATAATGTTGATACTACAATATCATCCCAGGCACATATGTAACCTGAGAGCCCTCAGCTATCTTCATTGATATAGTTTATCTTGGGAGGAAGTATGAGAGGATACGAATAAAAGATCACTGCAGTAGGAAAGCTGGCCCCTGTTAGGCAGGTCTTACTCACACTCAACTACACTAAACCTTCCTAATAACATATTTGTCGAAGTTAGTCAGGGGCATTAATAAAGCGTAGATTTCTACTCAATTGAGCATACATTGTACAGTGTCTCTGGTATCTGAACAAGATACATCTGCAGCACTTAGGCATCTTTGTGGAAACGTTTCGCCAACTCTTTTTATCAGTCCAATGCAGAGAATAATGCTGGGAACAGTGGAACATGTGAAGTAGTTTGAGGTGCTCAGTCCCTCAGCCTTGAAAGGTGTTCAATATTATCTCTGTTTCGACTTGGAACGTAGAAACATCGCCGACGCTTTCTGTGGAGATATCTTGAGGCCTAGCTGAGTGCAAAGTCATCTTTTATCTCAAGTGCTCTTTAGTGTAGTAACCTACGGTTTATCAGTGATGACAAGTGCTGTATCATATAGGGAGATGAAATAGGTAGTCTGAAGAAGTGCTAAGAAAACAATAGCATCCATAAAGCTCTGGAACAGCATAAGGCCCGCAAATTTTCCTTGTGAGTTCCAGTGTGCGTAGGGTCCGAAAACTGACAGGCTTTCCTTGCAAGCAAATTTAACTGACTTATTTTTCTAAGTCCAAAAGATGTTAGGGCTACCCACATAAAGTTTTTGATATACTGTTTAAAGATCCCCAAACCATAATGTCAATTAAATTTTATTATAAATGTATGATAAGCTTCAATAACGTAAGAAGTGCCTGTCAGTCAGTTTGTAATGGCTAAATAGACATGCTGGCTACAAGCAGCAATAGCCTAGTTGACCAGGCAGTTAATAATCTAGCTACAGGTTGAGCTTCAATAACAGAATAACTATCTCTCGAAATCAGTCACAGCTATAATAAAAAAAAAAGGAACAAGGCAGTAGGCTACTGACACATAATAAGCCCAACACTCAGCCATTCCCACACGCAATTCTTAAACCTACCCTTACAATTTGCCAAAGAATTTCCTTCAGTGCTACTTAGCAGTGTATTCTGTCAGATGTCAAAAGACGGACACGGGTGTATGCGGCTGGTTCACTCAAGGGTCACCCAGTTCGCCAGCTTGACTGACTCGGTGTAATTGGTTAAGTGGAGTTAGCCTTCTGGAGCTGCAGGTGTGACTTGGCCAATGATTGTCTGGGCTCTTCACAGACGTCTTCCTTGAGTGCGTACAAGTTTCTGTATAGTCCTCATACATAATTTTAAACTTTTAAAGTGGTCTTATATGGTAATTATGCAGAATTTAAACTAGGACACCCGAATAAAGTCAAACAATTTGACTTATTTTTATTAGTATCTTTGTCATTGCATTACCGAGACGTTTCGCCTGCTCAGCAGGCTTTTTCAGTCGAAACACAGAGGTGATTTAAATACCGGGGACAAGAGAAGTTACATAGTTATTTAAGCTTATATTTATATAGGCATATACAGTATACGTGCCTTCTTGTCCTCTACCCTTGATATTATTAGCAAAAGGAAATCAACAAAAAATAATACATCAGATCGAAGGTACATTTTGTGATTTGTAGTGTGTTTTCCAGTTTTTTGTTGTAGATTTTATTTTAATCAGGGGAAAGCACTGAACCCGTAGGTGTCATGTAGCACCTGGAGGATGGGAGTCAATGAGGTGCGATCCAAGGAAAGGGAGGATAAATCCAGTTCTGTGGATCAAAAGCCCCTGGTAGGCATCAAGGCACCTCCCAGTGAGCAAGAACACAACTGCAAATGCAAATTAGGACATAAACGTTTCTCCTGCAAAGGAGTATTTATATTGAATCAGAAAAGGTGCTGTATGTAGTAGAGCTTAATGACGGCTGTGTCCGGTTTAGGCAGGATGATCTGGCCGGAACATTTGGAACCGTAAAACTGCCAGAATTATGTATTGACCTGGAGTTTACCTGGAGAGAGTTTCGGGGGTCAACGCCCCCGCGGCCCGGTCTGTGACCAGGCCTCCTGGTGGATCAGCGCCTGATCAACCAGGCTGTTGCTGCTGGCTGCACGCAAACCAACGTACGAGCCACAGCCCGGCTGATCAGGAACTGACTTTAGGTGCTTGTCCAGTGCCAGCTTGAAGACTGCCAGGGGTCTGTTGGTAATCCCCCTTATGTGTGCTGGGAGGCAGTTGAACATCTCGGGCCCCTGGACACTTATTGTATGGTCTCTTAACGTGCTAGTGACACCCCTGCTTTTCATTGGGGGGATGGTGCATCGTCTGCCAAGTCTTTTGCTTTCGTAGTGAGTGATTTTCGTGTGCAAGTTCGGTACTAGTCCCTCTAGGATTTTCCAGGTGTATATAATCATGTATCTCTCCCTCCTGCGTTCCAGGGAATACAGGTTTAGAAACCTCAAGCGCTCCCAGTAATTGAGGTGTTTTATCTCCGTTATGCGCGCCGTGAAAGTTCTCTGTACATTTTCTAGGTCGGCAATTTCAC